GACCAGGATTGTCTTGTGCCAACAGTAAAGCATGGTGGCAGTGCAATTATGGTTTGGGCAACCATATCTTGGAATTCTTTAGGCCCCATCATCCCCTTGAAAGGTATAGTCACTTCCAGGGACTATTTACAAATTTTGACCGACCATGTGCACCCCATGGCGCAGACATTGTTTCCCAATGACTGCACCATTTACCAAGACGATAATGCTCCAATTCACACAGCTGGTGTTGTCAAATCGTGGTTTGACAAGCATGCAGAGGAAGTCTTGCACCTTCTCTGGGTGCCGCACCTAAATATCATAGAGTCACTATGGTCAATTTTGGAGAGCAAGGTCTGGGCTTGTTTTCCGCCTCCAGCATCTCTGCAAGAACTAGAGCAATTTTTGCATGAAGAGTGGTATCAGATTCCATTATCCACCATCTAAGATTTATATTTGTCAGTTCCCAAGAGAATTCAGGCTCTCCTGGATGCCAAAGGCGATCCAACACCATACTAGGTAACAATTTCATTCTTCTGGTGTTTCCACAATTCTGTCCAACCCTTGTACATAAAACATAATGATGAAAATAGTGTCTAGACATGCATGTACCACACATTCTAGAACATCACATAATGATCATTGTGATATTCTCTAATGTTTATGCATTTCTAAACATCATTTTTCTTCATTATTATTGTTTTAGGATTATATTTGTAGCCCTGATGAAGGGGGGGGGTTTGGGGTTTTTTTATACAACCTTTTTTTATAAGCAATTCAAATCATTTTGGACTCTTTCATTGCGTTTTGGTCTGGCGTTCCTTTCTGTATTTATATTGTTGGTAGCCTTGATGGTGAGCTCCCTCACCAGGGCTATTGAGCTTGTTTGACATTTTCCTCATCTGACTACACCTGCATGTCTAAAAGCTCCCAATGCCTCTTTAAATATGTTGTTCTGGGGTAATTTTACATGCAGATCATCTTAGGTAACACCCACATATTATGCTGAGCCTCCATGATTGAAAGCACTAAAATTAATTGAATGAAAGGGGTGACCAGGGACTGAGGCTGGGAAGGAAAGGGCTACATAATGCTGGGTGTCACCCAGCCAAGAAATGAGGTGGACTCTGATTTGCTACAGTTTCTAATGCACACTTTGTGGAAATGCAGAGTAAGTTTGTACACCCCTTGAGGGTTAGGGTCTGCTGTGACTGGTTAGCACTTCCACCTGGCAGTACTAGGATCGTCTGTTCGAATCCCAACCCCGGCACCACCTGCCTGGAGTTTGCATGTTCTCCCCTGTGACTGCGTGGGTTTTCTCCGGGTACTCCGGTTGCCTCCCACACTCCAAAGACATGCTGGTAGGTTAATTGGCTCCTGTCTAAATTGTTCCTAGTATGTGTATGTATGAATGTGAGTTAGGGAATTTAGATTGTACACTCCTTGAGGGTTAGGGACTGATGTTAATGTACAATATATATATATGTAAAGCACTGCGTAAATTGACGACGCTATATAAGTACCTGAAATAAAGACATAAATAATGTACTAGATATATGTAAAACGCTGTGTAAATTGATGGCGCTATTTAAGTACCTGCAATAAAAAAAATAAAACAAGCCATTTCAGTACAACTTTGCAAGGCTGGAGCTTTACAGACTCTTGCCATCCCCAGTGGAATAGAGAGAAGCAGCACAAGGAGCCTTTCTGTTGTCATGCACTTACAATAGACATGCAGATAGGACAGAACAGAGCGATGAGCTCTTCAGTGGGCTGCTTCTCTTTTCACTGTTCCGTCACAGGCTCAGAGATGGACAAGACCTATATGAAATGAAAACATGTATGCAATGTTAATCCTCAAATTAAAACAGATGAAATTAGTCTAATCATAGCCTGTTCCCTTTAAATAATGCGGACTGGAATAGGCACCTCTTCCCATGGTAGTCCGTGATTGATTTCACTTGCACTTTTCACTGTCTGCCTGGCAATACTCCCCCTACAATCTGCAGGTCTCGGTTTACATTCCAACTCTTCCACAGAACAATAGGGATCCAGCAGTGAAAGTGGCTTTGCAGTAAGCGGAGTAGCCGCCACATCCCTTGAGATTGGTTTTAGTTTCTGCTGACTGTTCTAATCTGCTCTGGTGTGCAGAAAAAGTTTGGCTGAACAATGAAGGCCTTGGCCAGAAAAACCTGCCCCTCAGCCGGCTCTCAGCACTCCGATGAACAGGTGTAAGAGAATATGGATTGCAGGTTTAGTCTCTGGGCCATCTGCCAGCATGTCAGAGGAGGCAATCGGTATCTGCGAAGCCGTTCCCACAGAGCGTCCTCACCCAGGACAAAAGCTGTGAGACTTAGCTGTGCACAGATCCCACAATAATTACCTGCCTGACGATTATTTTGCAATGCATATGTGCAATTTTAGCTGAGTGTAAGCCATGACTTCTGTTATGGGCCTCTTTGCTATTGTTATGCCGTATTACTTACGGCCGATTGAGGAATTCTTCCAAGGATCAGGGTGTATATGCTGATATATACATTTTAATGTACCTGATTTATACTGACTATACAGTCTTAAAGGCTTAGTTCACCTGTAACAAAAAAGCAGCCATATGTAGATAAGAGTTGCTTGTAGACGAAAACAAACTGTGCAGCCCTGACCAAAGTTAACCACTTGCCCTCCTGAGGATTTACCCCCCTTCCTGACCAGGCCATTTTTTGCGTTACGGCGTTGCTTTACTTTGACAATTGTGCGGTCATGCAACGCTGCACCCAAAATAAATTTATGTCCTTTTTTTCCCCACAAATTGAGCATTCGGTGGTATTTGATCACCTATGCATTTTAATTTTTTGCTCTATTAGAAAAAAAAACAAAATCGACAATTTTGAGGAAAAAAAAAAAAACAATATTTTTGACTTTTTGCTATTAAACATGTCCAGTAAAAAAACTTAAAAATTCAAATTTAGGCCAAAATGTCTTCTGCGACATGTCTGCTAACAAAAATCCCAATACGTGTAAATTAATTGATTTACTTAAAAGTTATATCGTTTACAAATGGCTGTATAGATACTGAAATTTTTTATTTTTACTAGTAATGGCGGCGATCAACGACTTGGGCATCAAAGGCATTCTGACACTGGGGGGAACTGACTTGGTGTCACTGACATCCCCAGTGACACCAATACAGTGATCAGTGCTAAAAAAAGCACTGACACTGTACTAAGGGCACTGGGCAGGAAGGGGTTAACATGAGGGTTGATCAAAGGGTTAACTGTGTGCTGTTTTACTTGTGTCTGTGTGTGTGCGTTACACTGTAATCACACTGTTTTGCATGGCTGTGCTGTGCACAGCCATCCAAAGCAGTGTGCATGAGCTGACAGGGAGGAGAACTGTATTGTTTACATACAATTCTCCTCCCTGTCGGAGATGCTTGGCAATCACCAGGCTCTGGCGAGTAATCACCGGCTGGGACCCAGTGATTGGCGGCCGTGAATGGTGGTGTGGGTAGGGCACACACGCCTCCTACCCGGAAATGCAAAATAACGTTTATATATGTGATTTTGCGCACCCGTGCCACCCTGTAGCAGTATATCTGCTATAGGGCGGTTGGGAAGTGGTTAAAGTGTTACTAAACCCACAACAGTAAAATCAGTCTGTATGTGCAGTAAAACATGCTTGTTATACTCACTGTAGAACCTAAAGAGTTAATCCTCCACATTGTCTAAAAAGGCTGTTTGATCCTGGTCTTTTCTGATCCTCCCCTTCTTCAACTGTCCCCAGTCTATCTGCTGATAGTACAGAGCCCTAGGAGTCACTCTGCACATGCTCAGTTTGGTGTGTATTGCTAGAGAGTTTTTTTTTCTTTGGGAGGGTGCCTGTGACAGGGCCAATCAGCACTGTCCAGAGAGAGGGTCAGGGGTTATGCAGCCTCATAGGACAGTCAGAGCAAAAAGAAAACTCCTTCTACAAGCTTTAACCAGTGCTCAGCTGGACATGGATAGAAGTCACAAGACTGCTATATATGACTGATGAGAAAGATATTTAGCAGTTTATATTTACTAAAATAATTGCATTTCCATGTTCTGTGTGCTGTTGGAGACCAGATATAGTGAATGCAGGGTCCTGGGTTTAGTAACACTTTAAATAATGTCCTTGATATAGACCATTTATGTACCTCCCGAAGCATGAGTAAAAACTTCCAGGGATAGCATCTTACCATCCTGCCATGTTTGCTAAGACACTCCCACTGGATTCAGACCCCCTTGCATGCGTTCTCTCTATCCTGTCACAGTAAATGAGAGCTCAATTATGCTACAATGGAGGAGATATGAACCATGCATGTAGAGGGGTTTTAGAGCTTGCTCCTGTGATGGTGGGGGTGAGCAGCAACAGCTGGCAGTGTCTTTGCAGAATCCTAATAAGAAGGCATGATGGGATGATGCCACCTCTGGGAGTTTTTTAGTCAGGCTTCAGGAGGTATGTAGATGGCCTTCCACCTATGACAGGGGCATTATTTAACTTCGGCCAAAGCTGCACAGTTTGTTTTTATCTGCAGGCACCCTTTACCTGCAGGGGCAGTTTTTGCCAAAGGTCAATTAACCCTTTAACCACCTCCCGCCCGCCATATAGTAATATGACCGACGCAAGGTGGTTCTCTCGCTCTGGGAGGATGTCATGACGTATTCCCATTCTCACCGCGCATGTCCCTCGGACACAGCGGATCACCAATCACGGAAAGAGCCGAAGATATCGGCTCGGTCATGTGATCAGCTGTGTTCAATCACAGCTGATCACACGTAAACGGGGAAATGCCGGTTATTGGCATTTCTCTCCTTTCGAGCTGTCACGCTGACAGCTCGAGAGGAGAGGAGAGCCGGTAATCGGCTTTCCGCGGAGGGGGACATGTACACTGATCATCAGGGATGATCAGTGTGCCCTGATGATCAGTGTAGCCCCAGCAGTGCCACCTGTCACTGTCCATCAGTGCCTTGTGTCAGTACTCATTCAGTGCCTCGTACCAGTGCCCATCAGTGCCACATCAATGCCACATATCAGTGCCTACCAGTGCCCATCAATGCCACATATCAGTGCCCATCTGAGCTGCCTTTCAGTGTCACCCATCAGTGCCAATCAGTGCCGCCTGTCAGTGCCACCTAACAGTGCCAGTCAGTGCCACCTATCAGTGCCATGTATCAGTGCTGCCTTTCAGTGATGCCTGTCAGTGCCACCTACCAGTGCCACCTATCAGTGCCCATCACTGCAGTCTCATTAGCGCACATCCGTGAAGGAGAAAAATCACTTATTTACAAAATTTTATAACAAAAACTAAGAAAAAAACTTTTTTTTTTTCAAACTTTTCAGTGGTTTTTGGTTTGTTTAGGAAAAAATTAAAAACCCAGAGGTAATAAAATACCACCAAAATAAAGCTCTATCTGTCAAAAAAAAAATGATAAAAATTTCATATGGGTACTGTGTTGCATGACCGCGCAATTGGAAAGCTGGAAATTGGCCTGGGCAGGAAGGGGGTATAAGCGCCCTGTAGGCTAGTGGTTAAAGTTGAACTCCAGGCAAATGGCTAAATACACATTAAATGAATATAAGGGAGCTTTTGATTTCTGTCCATCCAGTCCTGCTACAAAGCACAACCCTGTCTGTTAGGTAAGCAGATTTTCCACTGCTGCAGATTAGTATTAGTTGCAGGTTTTGCCCCTTCATTAACTACACTAAACTATATCCAGGATATTTAGAATTTGTGCTGCCCTAGGCAAGACAAAAAACAGCCCCTCCACCACCCTCCTGGTGACATCTCCTCCAGAGCCCAGAGACGGTGGAGTTGAAGCGGCGTGTGCAGTGGCTGTCCATGGCCATGTATGGGCGGGGGAGGGGATCTCCCAGTGCCGGGTTTTCCCGGTGTGACATTTCCTCCACCCTGGAGATCAGGCGGACTCCTCTGGACATTGGCTGTCTTCCCCAGGCGGTCCATGATTTTTTCCCCCTGGAGGGGGAGGTGCTGTCCTGGGGTGTAAATGTATCCCAGGTCATTCTTCTTCCCCCGGTTTCCTGCACTGGTCCTGGTGTCTTCGGGCGTCCATCTCATACCAGTGATCGGTGCTAAGAGCCGCAGCCAGGGCGAGGCAAAGACTGGCATGGGCCAGCAGCCTCATCACACCGGAGGAGAGGACATCACACCCTGAGCACCCGCCTCAGCCAAACCACTGCCCACCAGCCCCCCCATCTGTGACCTAGTGCAGCCTCATCAGCGCACATCAATGAAGAACAAAAATTTCTTCACCAAATTTTTTTTAGCAGAAACTAAGACAAATATTTTTTCAAAATTTTTGGCCTTTTTTAATTTGGCAAAAAATAAAAAATTCAGTGGTAATTAAATACCACCAAAAGAAATCTCTGTCTAAAAAAATTATAAAAATTTAGTGTTTTAGTTTAATGTTTTAGTCAAAGTGCGACAACGCTGAAAGCTGAAAATTGACCTGAGCAGGAACAAGGTGAAAGTGCCTGGTGGGAAATTGATTTTGTTTAACGATGGTAAAGCCGGTCATACACGGGTCGAATTCTGAAATAATTTTCATTTAAAAATCTTTTCTAAGAATTTTCGTTTGAATTTCGCATTAGTCACCATTGAATTTCACCATTAGTTGGTCAAAAAAAACAGGCGATTTTCATGTGACCATTGAATTTGAGTGATCGGACATGTTGGAAATTTTTTGAAAAACTAACAAATTTCGAATCAATGATGGGAGAATCGTGCAAGAAATATAAAGCTGTGACCTGGAAAGAAAAGAACATTCTTGGCCATGAAAATTCTTTTCTGTAGCAACATAAGAAGAAATTGAAGACTTGGTTGAATTTCAAAATCAATGGTGGCAGCATTGGGTTACCAAACATGCATGAAATCTCCGATTTTCGAAAGAAAATTAGTTCAGAATTTGACCCTTGTATGGCATGCACAAAGGTCTGCTTTGCCATGCACTGAGAGCTGGCCATGCACTGAGAGAATTTCGGCCAGCTCCTGATGAACCAGCTGAAATTTTCTCCGTGGACGTTCCCGCACCATGAAATGATGATTTTATTGAAGGAGCCTGCTTGAAACATTTCAGCCAGACAGTGGCTGTATCCAATCAGATGTGGTTGCTGTATGATTTCAGAAAGCTGGCATTGGCAAGGGGATTTCCCCATCCAGGCGGTTTAGCATGGCCATCCAGAAGTGTAAAGCTAGGTATGAACTAGTAGAATATTGTTCGACATTTTCATTGTAAAAACATTCATTTGTTTTTCTAAACATTAGTCAAATCGACATTTGTTTTCAACCGCAGTGATGAGAAAATTCGAAGAACAGGATAGACATTTTTTCTTGAATGAATGGATTTCTAACTGTGTATGAGGTATTCTTTCGGTAAAGTCCATTCATTTCAAAACGGATTGTTAAAAACAAACAAAATCTTTAACTGCTTTAGGCTCCAGCACACGGGGCTTTTTAATAATGCTGGTAACGTTAGCTGTGTAAAGTCACGTTAACCACTTGACCTCCAGAGGATTTACCCCCCCTTAATGACCAGGCCTCTTTTTGCTACTCGGCGCTGCACTAATTCAACTGATAATTGCGCGGTCATGCAATGCTGCACCCAAACGAAATTTACGTCCTTTTTTTCACACAAATAGAGCTTTCTTTTGGTGGTATTTGATCATCTGTGCGCTTTTTATTTTTCACGCTATAAACAAAAAAGGCCAAAAAGTTTGAAGAAAAACAATATTTTTTACTTTCAGCTATAAAAAATATATAGTAAACTCAAAGTTGGTTATAAATTTAGGCCAAAATGTATTCTGCTACATGTTTTTGGTTAAAAAAATCCCAATAAGTGTATATTGATTGCTTTGTGTGAAAGTTATAGCGTCTACAAACTATGGTATAGATACTGCAATTTACGCCATTTTTCTGCTATACAGCGCTGCGCTAGTTTAACGGACAATTGCGCAGTCATGCAATATGGTACATAAATGAAATTTACATCCTTTTTTTCCCCACAAATTGAGCTTTCTTTTGGTGGTATTTGATTGCCTGTGCGGGTTTTTATTTTTTGCGCTATAAAAAAAGGCTGACAATTTTGAGGAAAAAAAAATATTTTGGACTTTTTGCTTTTAAAACATGTCCAGTAAAAAAAAAATGCAAAAATCAAATTTAGTCATAAATTTCTGCCAAAATGCATTCTGCGACATGTCTTTGCTAAAAAAAAAAAACAATAAGTGTAAATTAATTGGTTTACGTGAAAGTTATAGCATTTACAAATGGCGGGAAAGATACTGGGATTTTTAGTTTTTTTTTTATACTAATAATGGCGGCGATCAGCGACTTATGGCGGCAATCAGTGACTTATGGCAGCGACCAGCGACTTATGGCGGGACTGCGGGACTGCGGCGGACATTCTGACATTGGGGGGTACTGACTTGGGGTCACTGACATCCCCAAAAACACTAATACAGTGATCAGTGCAAAAAGAAAAACACTGACACTGTACTAATGGCAATGGGGAGGAAGGGGTTAACTTTATTTTGCAGGGAAGGGTTATCTGAGTGAGGGGGAGTGTTTTACTAGGGGGGGGGGGGGTGTGTGCTGCGCGGGACACCGCTGATCGAGAGAGAAATTCTTCTGTCTCGATCAGCTGGTCCTCGAGCTGACAAGGAAGTGACAGACAGCACAGCTACTGCAGCTGTGCTCTCTGTCACTGTTTACCGCCGATCGCCGGGAAACAGCTGCTAAGGACCGGCTGTGACCCGGCTACTGACATCCGCGGCGGTGAGGGCGGCAGCGCGCCTCGTGCGTGCCCCCTTTTTGTTTACAAAACACACGTTTTAAAACGTGGTTTTGCCTGCCGCCGTATTTCTACAGTGGCTGGGTGGAAAGTGGTTAAGAACGTGAGTTTTTCAGTGTTTTTGTGTTAGCATTATGCTGCGTTTTTTCACGTTTGCATATTTTAGCTTTTTTTACAAAAAAAAAATGTTTTTTTTTGGTCAAGAAAACATCCAAAAACGCTGGTTTACCGCGCTTTACAGTGTTTTTTTTCAGGGTTAGAGCATTTTTACAGCTAAAAAACTCCTCTAGAAACCCACTAGTAATAGTTTCTAGCCAAAAAATGTCCCTGCCAAAAAACGTTGATTACAGTCCATGTGTGCATGGACACATTGGATAACATGCTGGGGGGTTTACTGGCTGTAAACATCCAAAACCAGCCGCTGTAAAAAACGTCCAGTGTGCATGAGGAACTAAGAACGACGATCACATTTTCTGAGAATTTTCATCCAAATGTTTGTTTCAAATTCTACTAGTGTATACCCAGTTTAACAGTGTATGGCCAGCTTCAGCCGGTGACTGGATAGTGAAAGGAAAACACAGATGGGGAGATTTACTAAAACTGCATGGTGCAAAATCTGGTGAAGTTCTGTATGGAAACCAATCAGCTTCCAGGTTTTGTTGTCAAAGATTAATTGAACAAGCCAAAGTTAGAAGCTGATTGGCTACCATGCACAGCTGCACCAGATTCTGAGTGCTCCAGTTTTAGGAAATCTCCCCCATAGGGTAAGGCAGACACGTGAGCACTGCAGCACAATTGTGCAGTTTCTCCCTCTCCCAGTCTAAGCTTGTTGCATGCATAGCATGTTTGCTCATTATAGCACATCAGCTTCCCCTGTGTGCCCTCTTCCAGTAATGTTAGGTCCATGCTCCAGTTGTTGCCCCATCTACTATCTTCTCGCCACGTCTTCTGGGTCCAGCAATCTGCACCCTAATCCATTGATGGGCCACCAATGCATGTGCACAGGATTTACATTGTACCTGGCAAACAGCTCTATTCTTGGCATTCTGCGAATGAAGAGAATCAAAAATTGCTAGGAGCATGGATGAAAGGTACTTTTTTGCAAAGGAGACTGTGCAGGTGTCTTCTGCCATTGACTTGCATACTAGCACATTATGCCATTGACTTGCAGGGGGAAGATTTTTTCCCCCCCTAAGGCAGGCCATAGACACCCAGGGCTGTTTATCGGCCAAATTTTCGGCCGATAAATGAAAAATCGGTTGGCCCCGTTGCCAATGCTGCCATCCATGTCCACGAAAAACGGTCATTTTTTGCGGATTTTCCAGCATGACTGATGAAAATAAATGAGGAGATCTGCGAAAAACTGCGGACAGGCTGGCCCCAGTAACGGCATGATTATAGGCTGAATTTTCGTCCACACGACCCGTCTATGGCCTGCATAAGGATTTACAACCACTTTAAAGAATATGTTACCCCAGCATTTCATATTCTTGATATCTGCCTGCTGTGCCATGTACTTGTGTTAAAAAGTATTCTGTTCTCTTTGTATTGCTTCCTTTGTGTGATATACCCGGTGATCCTGCCAGTCCCTCTGCTTTCCTATTTCAAACTCACCATGTTTGGCATGAAGCACATCCATCCCAGTGTGGTCAGTTTTCTGTTTGTGCTGAACCAATGATCAGGCCTGTGCTGACACTCTCCCCTCCTGCATAGACATTCTCTGGGAAGATCAATGTACTGCTGTTTCTCCACCCCTAGCTCTCTAAGCTCCTTATGCAGTTGAGAACAGAGATTATGTGATCACTTATGAAAAAAAAAAAAATTATAAATGCCTTTTTTTAATATCTATACTCAGATGTTTTGCTTTTCATTTCTATTTTAAACTGAATGGGTTTTTTTTTACAAGGTGTGGGTTCACATATACTTTAAAGTGGTGTTAAAGGCTCGAATTTTAAAAAAAAAAGTCATACTTTCCAGCTATGTGCAGTGGTTTTGCACAGAGGAGCCCTGATCCTCTTCTTCTCGGGTTCCCCACCACCTCTCCTGGCTCCTAACCCTGGACTAGTGCTCATAATAGCAAGCCGCTTACTATTGGGGCACTTGTGCGTGCTTGTTCTCAAGCCCTGCTCTATGCGTCCATAAGACACAGAGCCATGGCTCAGCTCTGCCTCTGCTCTCTCCTCATTGGCTCACTATCTGTGATTGACAGCAGTGGGAGCCAATGGCTCGCACTGCTGTCAGCCAATGAAGCGAGGGAGTCCTGGGACAGGCGAGGCTCTCGTACACACCACTTGATCAAGAGGAGGATCAGGTGAACATTAGGGGGGCTGTGGGGAAAGCGGCACACAGAAGCACATGTTCTATGCATGAAGGTATAAAACCTTTTGCCTTTACAACCACTTTAAGGTTTCCATGCACTTTAACTATTAAAAAAGTACAAATCGATAGCATTGGATTCATATATAAACACGTATTTGCAACCAGTACAAACAAACATGCTATTGCATAGAAATACTGGATAATGCAAGTGACCTGAAAATACACTTATTAGAACAATAAAACTTTCCTGAGATCCCCCGGAGGATGCGGGGGACGCCTAGGCACAAAAAGATCTGGCAAACGCAACATGATGAAAAGTTTTCATTCCACTGCCAAACAATATGAATACACAGTGCCAGGAAATGTCCGTCTGTTTTCTTCCTTAGAACAGGAAAGTGTACCAGGCTAGGAGCGCTGGGATCTTAATCACTACCAATGGCAATCACTGCTAATAACACTACCTGAAAACAATATATTACATCAGAATAAAGTCCTACCCAAGACAAAACGTTAAATTCAACATTGAAATATACAGTACATATATGAACAGTTTACCTTAATAAAGGGTATGTAATTCTCCTGAGCAGGATTGCGATGAAGGCATCCCTGCCAGACAGGTCCTTAAAGCGGAGTTCCACTCACATTATCAAAAAATAAAAGTCAGCAGCTACAAAAACTGTAGCTGCTGACTTTTAAAAAACACACACTCACCTGTCCCTTGGTCCCGCGGTGTGTCCCCTGCAGCCCGTTTTACCGGCCGTCTTCTCTCCCTGGCGCCGGCATCTTCAGTGTGGGCACCCGGCTGTGATAGCTTGCAGCTTCACAGTCGGGTGCCAACTTTTTGAGTAGCAGTGCGCTTCATGAATGGTCCTGTAGTCTTCTGGGACCTGTCACGTGTCCCAAAAGACTATGGGGAGGTAGGAAGGGAGGACACCTTGCATTTCCGATCGCCTAGGCGATCGGAGAGGAAGTGGGAGCGGGTACCTGTCAAATTCGGGTACCCACCTCTGAAAGGTGCCAATCCTTAATGGGGAGTGGGGGACCAGTCTTTAAAGCGGAACTTCCCCTCTTGGGTGGAGCTCTGCTTTAAAGTCCCTTCAGACTACAGTGCATAAGCAAATCGGCAAAATAAAAAATACTAAGGGAAGAGAGGAATGAAGGAGTTAATAACAATTAGGGTTCACTAAAGGTTACTAATTGGGAGTGAAAACTGTTTAAATTTTTTTCTAAATTTACAAATAAATGTGATTCTTGAATGAAAACTACAATAGCAGCTTTTGTTCAATAATGCATGTAGAGTAGGACCCGAACTGTCATAGTGCAGATTACACAGGGAGAACAGGGCTCTTCCTGTGTAATTATCAGATCTCAGGTAAGCCCCGCACCCCATGATTAAGTGCATAGCACGAAACGTGTCAGAGGGGGCTACAACAACCGGACGTCTAGCCACCGCTGGTGGCCATCCTGAATAACATATGGTCAGTGTCCTTTATGATTTATACTATTGTTTACACCTGTCTTTGATGGAATAAAGTTCCCTATACAGTATCACACTATGTGGTGTCCCTTATTGGGCTCTCTTTTTAAGTGCCGTCATCCGCAGAGCCGCTTTAAAGGTGACCCCAGATGGTGATACACATCAAGGAACCCTGAGCACCGAAATCAGATGGGACCAGAAGGTGTATAGGAACCTGGCCTGACCTGGGAGCAGATGACCTGAGCAATACCTGATGAGACAGGCTATATCTCAAATGCGTGTATTTACGCACTTCTGGTGAGTGCGCAATTTACAATTTTAATCAGATTTATCACCTGCCACCCCGGATCAGATTTCCACACATGAGTATTGTGATCGTACAAGATCCTCACGTTGGCTGTTTTATTTGGGACATTTACTCACTAAGTTCACTACATGGTGACATCTTATTTTGCACCCAATTATTTTGCACCTTATGTCATTAAGGTATTATTAATTTATTATCTGTTTTATCTTTGTATTTAGTACGTATTATGTTGCACACTATGCTTTAGTGCTGCACCCCTCTATTGATATACTTATTGATATATCAGATCTCAGTGACAAGGGGGTGCTGTGTTTATCGGGGATTTACAGAGGTCCATATACAGAGTGGGTGGCTGCCAGGGGAGTGCTGCTGGTTACACAGGGAAAGCTGCAAGAACTGAATTTTCAGTTTGATAGCTCAGTCCTATGCCGTGCAGGACAAAGCTGAATGATGCAGTGGCAGGCGAGGTTCTCATTCAGCTATGCCCCCTGCAGCATGGCACCCCAGCTGGTGCCTCTTTTGCTTCTGCCATTGCCCAGCCTTGGGCTACTTACTAGCTTATTAGCAGGGCCAGTGCAAGGATTTTTGTCTACACAGGCGAAGGTGCGGTTTGCTGCCCCCCCTCCCCCGTCCTCCAGCCACCCTGTACTTGTACTGCTGTACCTCCCTGGCTTCTTGCCACCCTGTGCCTGTACTGCTGCCTAGCTACCAACCCCCCCTCCCGTCCTCCAGCCACCCCACCACACTGTTATTGCTGTCCCCCCCCCCATCCTCCAGCCACTCTGCACTGGTACTGCTAAACCCTCCCCCGTCTTGAAGCCACACCTCACTGGTGGTACTGCTGTACCCTCCAGCCTCCAACAACCCAGCGCTTGTACTGCTGCACACTCCCCCCAATTCCCAAGTGGTTGAGGATTCAGATTTTACAGATGGGTTGGGGTACGGGATCATGTATGGAGGAGATGGGGTTGCCTGACTCACTGAGGTGCAGGGTCAGGTTAATGGAGTACCGGTCCTGGATCCCAGCCAGCATGGTTTGGCTGTGAAACCACACCTGCCTGTTGTCATCAGTGATGAAGCATACAGCTCTGCGGCCGGCCACCCTCTGAGCACTCATCCATGATCACTCAGACTCCCTCCAGCAGCGCGGACACGGTGATCAACATAGGAGGCCATATCCTAAACTCCATGGACTCTCCGAGGAAAATTTCTGCCCCCATCCCGTCCTGGCGCCTTAAGGTGACTGCCTATGCTGCCTTTTGCTGGCATCAGCCCTGCTTATTAGCTTTTCCTTTTAGCAGGGCATTCTCATAAATGGTGCACATGTGGAAGGTAAGGTGTCCAAACGACCTCTCTACCAGTCCTAGAGCATATCAGTTGGTCTGGTGGAGAAAACAGGTAAGTTCACACTGGTGTTAATCTCCTAACCCACCAACATGGCTACCTTATCATTTAAAACAGCCATAAGCAGGGGTGGACTGACCATTTGGAAACTCGGGCACTGCCCGAGGGCCCGGGGTCAGTAGGGGGCCCCATGAGATGCCCCTGGTACCTTTTTCATAGGCTTTTTTGAGTTTGGGAAGGACACATGGGCTCCATGATCCCCTATTGCCCGGGGGCCCCTCGAGTTCTCAGTCCGCCCCTGGCCCTAAGCTTTGAGTTCAGGTTCACATTAGTGATTGGTAAAGTAAAAAACACAAGCCCAGTAGAATTATGTGTAATATTTAATGGCATCGGTGTGCACAAGGTTACCTGTCCCATTTACTCTGTGGTTAAGGCACTGGGGCCCAAAACTATTAGTTTACTCAAGGGCCCTTCACAGACTATTGTTTGCTTTTGAATAAAGATGCTCAAAGTGATTAGATGTAATGTTCTATCGGGTACTATATCATTTTGGAGACCAAAATCAAAGTTCAGAGGAATTAGCAGGGGGACAAGTGAGTACAAACCTTCTGTTTGTAGGTCATGCTCTGACATTTTTTTTAACTCAGTGACAGAGTGACTTTAAGATATGTAATTAAAGAATAGTGTGAACAGCATCCAACACACCAAACAAGGGATGGACATTATGAGTGGGTTTTATCTCCTGGAATGTTAGATAATACAAAATCAGTACAGAATGTTGCCATCTCTGGCAGATTCTCAGGTATTTTCACATTTTATCTTGTGCCAGATGTACCAGTTTTCTAGGAGGACATGTCCGCCCTGGTACACTGCAACATTTTTGATGCAATTAAAGAGATTTTACACATTTAACTCCCATTAAATAAGAAGAACCTTTTATTGTAGGATCCCTAAACCTTGTTTTAAAAATGAAAGGTTTATGTGCAATCTTTTTGTTCATCCTGGTACATTGACAGACCATTCAAAATGAACAGACGGCCATAATGCAACGCACATTACCATGAGTGCAGTAATTCAGTGACCACATCTGAAAGGTTTCTAAATGTTAACTCAAACAATTAATTTCTGTTCACTCCATTTTGGTCTGTTAAATATACCACTGAAAGTATTTATTTCTGTGCATGAAGGGCAAGAAAATACCAGCTGATCCCACCAGACATTCAGTGCTGCCCTGTGTCCTATGCACTGTGTAGTGTTAACAGTTTTTCAGCTTTGAACAGATCTTTATGTGGACTGCAGAACACGTTCCCCCTACAGGTGCATCTCAATAAATTAGAATATCATCAAAAAGTTAATTTATTTCAGTAATTCGATTCAAAAAGTGAAACGCATATATTATATAGATTCATTACACACAGAGTGATATATTTCAAGCATTTCTTTCTTCTAGTTTTGATGATTATGGCTTACAGCTAGTGAAAACCCAAAATTCAACATCTCAGAAAATTAGAATATTACATAAGACCAATTAAAAAAAAGGATTTTTAATACAGAAATGTTGGCTTACTGATAATTATGTCCATGTACAGTATAGTATGCACTCAATACTTGTAGGGGCTCCTTTTGTATGAATTACTGCATCAATGCAATCCGTCTGTGGCACTGCTGAGGTGTTATGGAAGCCCAGGTTGCTTTGATAGCGGCCTTATGCTCATCGGCATTGTTGGATCTGGTGTCTCTCATCTTCCTCTTGACAATACCCCATAGATTCTCTAAGGGATTTAGGTCAGGTGTGTTTGCTGGCCAATCAAGCACAGTGATACCATGATCATTAAACCAGGTATTGGTACTTTTGGCAGTGTGGGTAGCTGCCAAGTCCTACTTGAAAATGAAATCAGCATCCCCATAAAGCTGGTCAGTAGAGGGAAGCATGAAGTGCTCTAGAATTTCCTGGTAGAGGGCTGCACTGATTTGGACTTGATAAAACACAGTGGGACCAACACCAGCAGATGAAAAGACTTCCCAAATCATTTGACTGTGGAAACTTCACACTGGACCTCATGCAACTTGGATTCTGTTCCTCACCACTCTTCCTCCACATGTTGGATCCTTACTTTTCTTGATTGTTAACATGCACATCAATATTTTCATCTCAGTCCCCGGATGCTGTCACTGCCTGCATGATAAGATACCCACCTTCCAAGTTGTCCCATCAGACCCGTCATACCCACTTTCCAAACCATACTGCCCAGATCATTTCTGGGTGGTTCTGCACATGCTCTGTAACTCAAATTAGGGTAAAGCTGTGATCTTGGGACACATCCCAGGACACAGCATCACCAGGATAGAACGCCTAGAAGCAAATGGACTGTCCCAGATTTGCCAGGACAGTTGGCACCTATGTGTTAATGTCATTTTAAAAGCCAGTTTCAATATTTTTAAATCTGCAACCTTCATTAAAAAATTCATAATAATTCTCCCATGAAAGTCCCTATTTAGGCACTTCCTGGCACCATGGGGTGACAACGCTCTGCCCCTATTCCGGTTGTGCCCTGAAATGTCACCATGCCAATGATGGAGACTAGAAGCAACCTTGTCAACACACATTATACAAGCATAGACCAATGTTGTCACCATCAGGAAGCCCAACTCTGAAGTGCAATGTAGACTGCAAATATGTAGCTGAGCTGTAACAAGGCTTACAGGATAAGTAAATCCAAGAACAAAAATGTAATATATTGCAGCTCATTAGATGTGATGGCTGCCTTAATTTTTTTTTATAAAGCTAAGAAAACTTTTCAGCAAATTAAGAAAATACCTGTTGATCTTGCCAGAAATGCTGTGTCCTTGTCACGTCCTGTCAGTTGCA